TTTTACTTAATATCCTAATGATTTTTGGCATAAAAGAAAAATCTATAATTCTGACCCATACAATGTATTTTTGGCTATTGCTAGAAATATACCCGTGCTACCCGTGCTACTTTTTGTGATCCAGGGTCACAAATAGTATTCAGTAGTATATAAATAGTATTTAGTAAAATAAGTAAAATAGCGGATTCGTTTACAAACAAGGCACAATTCAACGGCGGGTTTTCTGAAAGGCTGAAATGAAAAGAGATGCTGTGAGACTATATTGGATTCGACAGTAATGTCGCACCACACAAGTGTGAGTGTGTGAGTAACTGTTTTTATTACGTGATCACTATTGCTTTATCTGTTATTACAGATAATTTGGTATGTACTGACTGAGTATTTATGCGTTTTTAACTGAAATCACAGCAGCGTCCATCTATGAAGGATGTAGGCTGTCAAACATACACGACTGTTAGCCAATCATAGCAGTCGGCGTTTACTTCCGAGTCTACAATCCTCCACGTCGATTCAAACAGAGCGTTCCGATGAGGGGGTCAAAACAAGACAGAAAATAGCCTACAAAGTAATATAAAAGGCAGTTCATGACCCCTTTAAGAGTGTGACTATTTCTGGGGTTATCTGGACTTCTTGTACTCACATTTCTATAGTTTCCTAACCCAATGCATGTGTTGATTCTCAGCCCTACCTACAACTCCTGAGATTTCCACACCATCCAAGGCTCCTAAAGAGAATGGTATTATCTTATGAATCTATATTTTATTATAAAAATCTTGATAACATTATAGGTGGACCTCAGAGAACAGTGAAAAAAAAGGCAGTTCATGACCCCTTTAATGTTATTAGCTCTTTATAATGGGCCTGTTAGGGGAATAATCTCTTTTTTTTTTTTCTTAGCATGAGAGAGTAATTATATTTCTGGTATAATTGCATAACGGTTTACTTAAACTGTCTGTCCACTGTATCTTTTTTTAAATAATCTACTCCATCTAGGTTATCCATCTGTTTGTATTAGAATCTACACATTTTTCCTCCTCTTTTACGGTTTCCTAACTGTATTTTTTTTATGCCACAGGAGACACAACAACTACAAGTACACGTACGTATTAGTTTTTTTTTTGTTTTTACTGTACTATTCAGTAGAGTTGATTCCTCTTGTCAGTAACGGTCACCCTTGTCTCCTTGATCTTTTTTATCTGAAATGTATGAAACTGGTGGATTATGAAATGTGATAATTCTAGTATTTCTGTAAATGCAAGTTCATATATTTGACGGATTGTGACAGCTCAGAGATTCAGAGTATCCTATAATAGGCTGGTTTCTGAGCATTCTGCAGGTCATGTCATATTTCTAGTTGGACATTATAGTTTGTTTTAAATTAATATTTACTTCTGGGTTATGTTTAATTTTCACATTTTACAAAGTGTTTGTCTTAATCCATTAAACAATGTATTTATTTTTTTAGCAGCTCCATGGGTTGTTGCACTGATTGTGATTGTTGTGATTGTTTTGATTGGTCTGGGTAAGTAATTCTGCATATTTCACCTGATAATCTACATGTCCTATACCTTCTTATTCAATACAGTCACCAAATCTTTTGTTAAGTTGTAGCAGTGTTATGCTTTAAAACTGACTGAGTTTGGGTTCCAGGGGGAAAAAACAAGAGTTATGAAATAATTTTTTCCAAAAATATAATCAGTCAGCTCATTTTTTATAATGAACAAAATGCAAAGAAACAGAGAATATGTTTTAATTTTACCTTTTTGATAATGACTTTATATTCTGAAAAATAAGTCTTACCTGATTATCACACAAGGCCATAATTGCATTGTTGAGAGAGAGAAACAGAGAGAGGAAAAAAAGATAAGTTAACGTATAATAAACGTTTTTTTTTTAAGTTCTCGTCACTCCACAACAAATCCTTTAAACTTATATTTTGCATTCCTGTTCTGAATACTGTTAAATTTAAAGTAAACTTAATGTATATTGTAGTATAATTTATTATTAACAACATTTATTATAATCTATTTAAATCATAACTGAATCTACTGGTGTGTGAGAAATGTGCTAAACATATACACTTGGGCTGATATACCTCCCTCACTGAGCATAAATCCAATTGTGCACTTCGTCCAACTAAAATATGACCCTGGACCACAAAACCAGTCATAAGGGTCAATTTTTTGAAATTGAGATTTATACATCATACTTATATACTGTATAAATAAGCTTTCCGTTGATGTATGGTTTGTTAGGATAGGGCAATATTTGGCTGAGATACCATTTGGTATGTACTGACTGAGTATTTATGCGTTTTTAACTGAAATCACAGCAGCGTCCATCTATGAAGGATGTAGGCTGTCAAACATACACGACTGTTAGCCAATCATAGCAGTCGGCGTTTACTTCCGAGTCTACAATCCTCCACGTCGATTCAAACAGAGCGTTCCGATGAGGGGGTCAAAACAAGACAGAAAATAGCCTACAAAGTAATATAAAAGGCAGTTCATGACCCCTTTAAGAGTGTGACTATTTCTGGGGTTATCTGGACTTCTTGTACTCACATTTCTATAGTTTCCTAACCCAATGCATGTGTTGATTCTCAGCCCTACCTACAACTCCTGAGATTTCCACACCATCCAAGGCTCCTAAAGAGAATGGTATTATCTTATGAATCTATATTTTATTATAAAAATCTTGATAACATTATAGGTGGACCTCAGAGAACAGTGAAAAAAAAGGCAGTTCATGACCCCTTTAATGTTATTAGCTCTTTATAATGGGCCTGTTAGGGGAATAATCTCTTTTTTTTTTTTCTTAGCATGAGAGAGTAATTATATTTCTGGTATAATTGCATAACGGTTTACTTAAACTGTCTGTCCACTGTATCTTTTTTTAAATAATCTACTCCATCTAGGTTATCCATCTGTTTGTATTAGAATCTACACATTTTTCCTCCTCTTTTACGGTTTCCTAACTGTATTTTTTTTATGCCACAGGAGACACAACAACTACAAGTACACGTACGTATTAGTTTTTTTTTTGTTTTTACTGTACTATTCAGTAGAGTTGATTCCTCTTGTCAGTAACGGTCACCCTTGTCTCCTTGATCTTTTTTATCTGAAATGTATGAAACTGGTGGATTATGAAATGTGATAATTCTAGTATTTCTGTAAATGCAAGTTCATATATTTGACGGATTGTGACAGCTCAGAGATTCAGAGTATCCTATAATAGGCTGGTTTCTGAGCATTCTGCAGGTCATGTCATATTTCTAGTTGGACATTATAGTTTGTTTTAAATTAATATTTACTTCTGGGTTATGTTTAATTTTCACATTTTACAAAGTGTTTGTCTTAATCCATTAAACAATGTATTTATTTTTTTAGCAGCTCCATGGGTTGTTGCACTGATTGTGATTGTTGTGATTGTTTTGATTGGTCTGGGTAAGTAATTCTGCATATTTCACCTGATAATCTACATGTCCTATACCTTCTTATTCAATACAGTCACCAAATCTTTTGTTAAGTTGTAGCAGTGTTATGCTTTAAAAAAACTGACTGAGTTTGGGTTCCAGGGGGAAAAAACAAGAGTTATGAAATAATTTTTTCCAAAAATATAATCAGTCAGCTCATTTTTTATAATGAACAAAATGCAAAGAAACAGAGAATATGTTTTAATTTTACCTTTTTGATAATGACTTTATATTCTGAAAAATAAGTCTTACCTGATTATCACACAAGGCCATAATTGCATTGTTGAGAGAGAGAAACAGAGAGAGGAAAAAAAGATAAGTTAACGTATAATAAACGTTTTTTTTTTAAGTTCTCGTCACTCCACAACAAATCCTTTAAACTTATATTTTGCATTCCTGTTCTGAATACTGTTAAATTTAAAGTAAACTTAATGTATATTGTAGTGTAATTTATTATTAACAACATTTATTATAATCTATTTAAATCATAACTGAATCTACTGGTGTGTGAGAAATGTGCTAAACATATACACTTGGGCTGATATACCTCCCTCACTGAGCATAAATCCAATTGTGCACTTCGTCCAATCCCCCTGACAACTGTCACACAGTATCAGTTTTGTTTTTATTTGTGAAATATTCAAGAAAATTAGTTTTGTTGTCCTTTTTATGTAGGATTCTGACATTGTTAAAATAAGAATTTTATCCTTTTTTTATTACAATCAAGGTTAATCATTTGTAACACAATTTCTTTCTGTTTATTAGTTGTGGTTGGAGTGCTGTGTTACAAAAGGAATCGGTAAGTTATCTGCACTGTCTCAGTTGCTCCTTATGTGATTTCTAGGCTGTTGTTCTTATACTCTGATATTGGGTAATAAATTAATACTTTGCATTCAGTGGTTGCAAAACAGGAGGAAGGTTTGGGTAAGATTTCCACATTTTCCATGAGAAATGGAGATTCCTTTGAGGTGAAGGTTTAGTGTACCAGCTGTTTAGTCATGCACATGCTGACTGTTGGATTGCAGCTCAAAGCATGAGTATTTTGAAAAGGTGATGACTCTTCCTTGGTGTAGAACTAGACTACCCATAATCCTGCAGAGAACGCCATCTTTCAAAGAAATCTCTGCTCCCATGAATCATTGCAAATGACATTGAGTCAGTATCCCAATTACCCCGCTCAAGCCGTGATCCTATTCACAGGGCTCCTGGCTGTGAATACTGTATGTAGACGTTCCCTTTTCCAAAATTCGTATTTTTGCAGATATATCTGCAGACATTTATTTTTTGATCAGTTGTATCATTTTTAGTTTTAGATATGTCGTTCACAATGCTTCACAAGCAGTTCATTCTATCATGAGCATTTAAGTGCCCATTTTTTATTCTACTTTTTGCTTTAAATCAAGAGATTCATCTTGGCTGTTTCAGCAGAGAATGCTGAAAAAGTAGACTGCCACTTTTTTTGAGCAGGTAGTTAAATATATATATCATTTAAATAAGCACTTCCCAGAAATGTCAAAGGCTGACTAATTTCTGGCAGCAAATTCCTCCATAATCAGACCCACTGTTGCTTTGAAAAGCCCAGCTTAATTTGAACAAACTCCTTTCTAGCAGTCGCTAACTTCACCCCATGCTGTGCTCTGAAAAAGATCCGTCTTCACATAAGTCAGGTTGATTTCACTTTTATAAAGTGTTTGCTTGTCATTTCTAACTTAATTTTCAACACTGTTGATGCAGTGATCACTCTTCTGTTAATGATGTTGCTGAGAATGTCTGAAGATTCACACCAAAAGAAGTGCACTGACTGTCCCATACCTCACTGATTTGGTTGAGAGCTAAATTTAGCATGAATATTTATGTAGAAAGTCTGATCAATTCTGATTTAAAAGAGATTGTTTGAATTTGTAACTATTCCATAGTATTTGTGAAGTCAATAAAGCTTATTTTTAATTTTGCCTATTACTTTTCATTTGGATAAAACAGGATGTATATATTAACCTTCCAGTAAATATTCTGCAGAATGTGATTTGCAGTGCAGATTTGAAATGAAATGTTTTGTCTAATCCTGTTGAAGTACTTAGTGCCTTTTCATTCTACTAGAGTTTTTGTTCAGGGTTGTCTAACACTGCGTAGAGCAGAGTTTGTTTAGGTTCTAATTACATTAGAAATGCTTTGCTATTGATTACACACTTAGATCTAATGAAGAAAAATAAAAGAGAATTCAGTACTTTTCTTTCCTGATTGTAGATTTTTTTTTTAAGTTTTGTTTTAAAATGCTGTAATTTATCTAATTTGCTCTTGCCAAATTGCAGTTATGTAAAATTATCTGTGGTTTAGTTCAGCTAATATTTTCAACCATTTCTGTTAAATTTGTCAAGTAATTCAATTTTAACAGCAAAATCTTTTCCCAAATAAGTGTTTTTTTTTGTGTGTGTGTTGAATTTGACTGCCTAACTGTTTTTTTTTTCAGCTTGCAATTTCAAATATGTATCATACTGTTTTATTGTAGCAATTAGCTGTTGTTTGGAATAATGGTTTGGAACCACTACTTTGACTCTTTGACGGTGCAAACGCTGAAATTCAACAAAGTTGATCTATAAATCCACCTCTTGCAATTGTGTATTTCACTGAGATCTGTAGGTGCCTGGATGGTCTCAAAATAAAAGCTCCATGGTCAAAACATAACGCAAATATTTTCCGTTTGATCATTTTAGTTTAGTTTTTAGATATCGCAGACTTGAGCATTGATTCACTTTGACAAATGTCTAATGTAAAATTAGATTTTGCGAGACCAGTTGCTCCATCATCAGCAGATACATTTCGTATTGCAAAATTCAACATGCATAGCTGCTTTCTGTATCACAAGGCTGCCAAAAAAAACGTTCAGTCAACATTGTCCTTAAAATCATCATTACAAGGAGCAATCAATTGAGATATTTAGTGGTAGTTTAATCCTTCAACTAGAAAAAAGGATGTTCATAACATGATTACAATGCATTGCTCTGATTGCAAATCTAGTGACGTGAACTGCTCATTTGAATCTGTAGAATATACAATGTATGTTTCACAACAACACCCAACAAAACACATCGTAAAAAACATACTGAACATGAATCCTACTGGACATGGCATGTTTTGAATGGAATATTGCTCCAATGAGCTTAACAGATATACAATAGTCACTTCAATTCACTTTGCATCCTGTTGTACAGCCAACAGCAAAATTCTGAAAAGCTATTTTCATTTAACAACACATTTAAGTCTACTATAAATCATTCAATCTTTATATTTTTTAAATTTTGGGCATCTCATAAATTAATTCAAACAATTATCCATCGAAAATACATGAATACTGGGTACTTATGGCACTTTTATCAGTCTAATAACCAATAAATCATAATTCAGCCTAATGACCACTTTTCATTTTCCATGCAGTGACTGGTCCGTCTTAGGCACTTAAAATGTACATTTGGCATTATTAAATATTGGAAACTCTTCATGTACATCTACAAAAAACATATACAAATCTAGTACAATATGAGAAACAAACCACCAGATTTAAATAAGATAAATAACAGTAACCCAAAAAATAACAGCACAAGATGTTCTAATGCAAAACATGTCAAACGTTATTGCATTCATAAGAAACATGCATGTGCACTGTGTGTGTACTGAAATGTGTAGGTTCAATCCAATGCATTAGGAATCATAAACTAATGTCAATGAACAACTTTTTTGCAGCATTTATTAATCTCTAGACCAACGTTAATTTACAAATGTAAAATTCGTATTATATTCAATGTTAACCAATGCTCCTTCATATATATGTATATGTACAGTATATAGCAATGTTCATTTATACAACTTCAATTTATATATAAAATCATTACAAATGCTGTAAAATAATTGTTCATTGTTATTTCATGTTAGCTATTGCATTTATTTGTATAGAACCTTATTGTAAAGCTTTATTAAAGTTAATCAAATAATAAAAAATGTAATAAGGGAGAGATGAAAATAATTTCACCACTTTCTACAAGACATCAAAATAAATTTGAAAAATATTATTTGCCTTAGAATATACATACTCTCAAAAACCCTCAAAGACTCATGATAGATCCATAAATTCCTGATTACCAACATCTTTTTTGACACATACAAAATCAAGCATATTTTTACAATTTTGACAACATGACAGTTTTTGGTTGTTGGCTCAGATCACTCACTCTGAGGCACTGAAATCGCTGGGCCTTTTGGATCATCAAAGCGGTCCATGGTGCGAACCTGCATGATCATGTGCAGGCCGTAGGTAAGAATGAACACCATGAGCAGAGAGGTCAGCAGGCCCATCCAAATCCCTGGAGTGAAAAATCCTGCACAATCGCTGGCATACGAGAAGTCTTCACCAGTAACGTTGAAGCCTTGGATCTGTGGGAAACATGGTACATCAATCAGCTGCAGTATGTGGCGTTTTTGTGGTATACTGTATATGGGTTTTGTAAATGAAGCTGAATCGTTTAACACTACCAGCTCAAAAACAGCGCACTGTAATAGCACCTGAAAATCAGTGAAGGACAGCGTCCATTGGTTAGCGTTGTCCGTAGCACTGCGAGGCACCAGCAGGGGGCTCTGAATGCTGCTCACGCTCTGGCAATGGAAAGAATACTCTGCAGGAGAGTAGATCCCGCCACTGGCGTTAAAGATAGCCCTCTGCCCGTCATACTCCAGCACCACCTGCTCCATCACCGACCAGTTGCGAGCAGATACAGGAAAGAAGATCTTGCGCATAGAGAAGCTTTGGCGAAGTATCACAAATTAATGGGTATCACAATATATTGTTACAATACATCACGATACAACAATATATATCATGCATACACTATTGGCCAAAGATTTTAAATAATTACAATTTTTTTATGTTTTTGACAAGTCTCTTATGTTCAACAAAGCCACATTTTTTTTCTATACAAATACAATAAAAACCATTTAAAAGAACTGTTTTGTTATTTTATTATATTTTAAAATAATTTAAAGTTATTCCTGTGATGGCAAAGCTGAATTTTCAGCAGCCATTATGCCAGTCTTCAGTGTCACATGATCCTTCAGAAATCATTCAAATCATTTCTGATCTGAACAAACCTTGGTGAACACCTTTCAAAAAAAAGAAAAACTTATTCCTAACTTTTGACCCCTGCTGTACTTCACCCAAAATGCAAGTTTAGAAAGATTTAATTTAGCATTAAATATGGTAAATTCAAAAGGTCACACAACTGAGCTTCCATGTTTATTAATCATTTGTAATAAAGTAAACATAAAATACATTATTTACTAAAATACAATATTTAAAACATTTGAAATGTATATAGTCAGGGACATTGTGCAAGTATACATGTTTAACACAATTTGTTTTTGAAAGATAAACAGAATCATGAATATTTCTATTCTGGTGTCGCTATTGACATTTACTAACTGCTTGTTTTCTTTAAAAAAATATATATATTTTTCTATTCTATCAGTTTTCTTTTTATTATATAATTAAAAAAAAAAAAAAACTTGCTACGTGACTAAATGTAATGTAAATGTATTGGCCTGTACATGGGGGTCCAATGTTTAATAATTAAAAAAAAAAAAAACGTACCATCTGTTCAAAGTATTGTGAGAGTATTGTGTCGTGAGATCAGTATTGTGTATTGATCTGAATCGTGACATTGTAGTGTTACATCCCTATTAAAAATGCATGTAAAATTCTGTTGTTGTTGTTTTTTTCTTCATATCCAACAAGTGCAGTAAATCCTTTTCTTCAAAATCACAAATAATACATATCATTGATGAATTATGTGTTGAATACTCACATAAGCCGGAGGGATTGCAAATTCAGAACGTTCTGGTAATTAATGACGAGTCTGAAAAACAAAATATTTTATACGTTCAAGAGGAAAACATTGAAAAATATTGAAATGTATACTGGTTTCTGCTTGATTATGATCCTGACCTTGACAGAGTTTCATTGCAAACTGAACCAGCCGTGAAGTCAGCAGAAGCATTAAAAATGTCTCTTGCCAGATCATCCTGGTTCCCAGAGTAACGAGCGAGGAGAGTATCGGCCCACAGCAGGATGCAGGGCTGGCCCGCTGTGTTGTTGACGACGAGTGGAGGTTTCACAGATGACTGTGGTGGTGCCTGAAGTAGCGACCGGCCCACAGAACGTCCTGCCATTACTGGGGTCTCCTCAATGACCTACAAAAGAAGGATAAATGACAAAAAATATTTTGTTCAGGGTTTCATCAAAGCTGTTGTGGATTTATCATCTCAAATGAAGAGGAACATAATGTGAGAGAACAAAGTGCAGTACATACTAACTTGTCCTTATGATTTTCCTTATTTGGATAAAAGCATCTGCGAAATGAATAAATGTCAAGGTAAGGTAGATGTGATCACTTACTCTAGAGGGCTTCAGACCGGTGTATACAGCAGTGTAAGGC